AAAAAAAAAAAAAAAAAAGAAAAAAAATTAGAGCCAGGCTTCATGGCACAGACCTGTAATCCCAGCACTCTGGGAGGCTGAGACAGAAGGATCAAAAGGTTTGAACCCAGCCCGTACAACTTAATGAGATCCTGTTTCAAAATTTTGTTTGTTTGTTTGTTTCCGGTACCGGGAATTGAACTCATGACCTCACGCTTGCCAGGCAGGCGCTGTGCTACTGAGCTAAATCCCCAGGCCCCATCTCAAAATTTAAAGAGGGGGTTGCAGCTTAATGTAAAGGTCTTGCCCTAGTTTTGAAAAAATATATGAAGTTGTAAAAATTTTCTAGAAAATGCTCTATAAAGGAGCTGGGAGCCTGGGGATTTAGCTCAGCGGCACAGTGCCTGCCTGGCAAGCTCGAGGTCGTGAGTTTGATTCCTGGTACTAGAAGAAAAACCAAACAAACAAACCAAAAGAAAGAGCTGGGGAGTTTAGTACAGTGAGACAGCCTGTGTGGAGAGGTCCTGGTTTCCATGTCAGCAGCAAAAAGAGGGGGGACAGGCCTGGGGGAGACAGGGCCGTGTACCCCAAGTAAAGCCAGGAGGTAGCTCGAGCTGGTGGTAGAGGCCTTGGAGTCTGGTGTGACCATGACGAGGGCCGGTTTCCAGGACCTGGGAGGGAGGCTCACGCTGGGCAGATGCAGTGGCTGCAGGGATCCAGAAGCGGCTGAAGACAGACTTCCCAGCTAAGGGGACTGGAGGGTGCTGTGGGCAGTGACCCAAGTGAAAAGGACAGCTAATTTCCAAGCAAGAAGGAGTCCAAGTCCATGGAGCCCTGAGTGCTCAGCCAAGGGGCTGCACCTTCTCCAGGGGGCAGAGGGACCCCCAGAGGCTGCACACAGGAAAGGTCGAGGGCATGTGGCACCCTGGGAAGCCAGCAAGGGGAAGCACTGGAGGCCAGAAAGTGGGCACAGGGCCCCGAGGGGCAGGGTGAGGCCTGAGCTGGGCCAGGGGCTTTTAGGGAACTCGAGGCCCAGTGTCTTCTTCCTGCCCATTTCCCAACTGCCCCCATCCCTAGCCAGAGTCAGAAGAAAGGCAAAAAACTTTTATTTCAATTTGAGATTCATTGGTCTCAGCCAGACATGGTGGTGCACGCCTGCAATCCCAGAACTTGGGAGGCTGAGGCAGGAGGATCATTTCAAGTTCGAGGCCAGCCTGGGCTACAAAGTGAGCTCAAGGTCAGCCTGAACTGCCTAGTGAGACCCTGTTTCAAAAAGATACACACACACACAAAAAGATTCACCGGCCTCTGCTCCATTCACAAGAGCAAGCAGGGAGACACGCTGGTTAAGAAGGCACGGATAGAAGGGGCATGGCCACCATCAGTTGCTGAGGGAAAAAGACAATGAGGATTCAGGACCAGGAAGTCCAGCCCTGCCCTCCACTTCCAGACCCGGGGGTCAGGGCCCAGCCTCCTCCCTCAGATCTGGGGTCCCAGGCCCCAATGCCCCAGGCCCCGAGACCCCTTCCCGGGACCTTGCGCTTCCGGTGGAAGGCTGCTTTGCTCTCCTCGGAGTTGACCCGCAGGGGGATGTAGGCATCCAGGCGATACAGCTGCTGGGAGCCCCCCATCACCAGGCGGTTCTCCCCAATCTCCAGCGACAGCCCCAGGGCTCCCTCCTGGAAATGTGGTGGATTCAGCCCACGCTCAACCCGACCGGCCCAGGCCAGATGGCCACGGGTGGAGAACGCGGCCTGAGCGGGCGCAGCTCGCAGGGGGCCTGGGCGCCACCCCTCAGCCCCTGTGCCCCGCAGCCCAGCCGCGCCCAGCTCGCTCACCAGTTTGGGGAGGTCAATTTCAGCCAAGAGGAGGTCGGGCGCCTCCAGCCAGAGGCTCAGGTGCGGCTTCTCAGGGCTGAGGAGGAGGACAGGACCGAGGGGCTGAGGGCGCAGGCAGGTCCCGGGGAGCCGTGTCCCCTCCGCTCCCCCAGCGCAGGCCACAGGAGGCTCCCAAGGCTGCAGTTCCGCCTTCTCTCCCGGCTGCCGGACCCCGCTGTGGGCTGCAAGGATCAAGGGGCGCTCGGAAGGGCGCTGGGAGTCTTTAGGGACCCCCGAAGGCTCACCCTCCCTTAGGCCCCCGGGAGTCAGGCGTGTGCAGGTCCCCCAGCTCCTGGATCCGAGGACGCTGCTTGGAGCGGATGTTCTGCTGTGAAATGGAGCCCAGGAACGTCCGGTTCTTCAGCATGCGCCATTCTGTGGGGAGACACAAAGATCACTGGGGTCGGTCCTCGCTCTCAGGACGGCCTGTCCACAGCACCCGAGAGGCTCCGCCCCTCCCTAAACATCTGGGCTTGGTCCGGGCCCCAAGGCGTGGCTCAAAGAAGCCACACCCACATTGCCTCCGCCTTCCGGGTAGGCACCAATCACAATCACATCTGTAGATGCCCTGGCTCCGCCCCCTACAGACTCAGGCTCCTGGCCCCACCCCTCACTCTGGAATCCAGTCTCCAGAAAGCAAGAAAATCCCTGCCCACACCAACACCGTCTTGCAACCAACCCGAACCCTTGCCTGAAGGCCAGGCGTGAACCCTCACCCGGATTCAGCTGCAAGCTGTATTTGTCCTCAAGGCCCTCCTTGGCGATGGTGACCACGAGCTCCCGCAAGAAATCGCTGTTCTACCAAAGGAGAAGAGATGGGTGGGTCTTGAGGCCGGGAGGCCTGGAGGCAGAGACCCCGCCCAGGCCGCACCTGCGCCCTGCTCCCACCTGCATCCTCCGGTAGAAGTCGCTGTTGACAGCTATGTCGTAGGCCGTGCAGCCTTGGCCTTCTGTGGGGAGAAACAGCCCGTGAGACCCCGGACCGCTGTGGGAAGCCACCCAGGCACCGCAGCCGCGTGAACCAGAGAACCCAGGAAATGATGGAGCTCAACACATTATTTTCCAGTAGACTCAGACCGGCGTCCTCTCGCACGCTGCAGCCTCTCACCTCCTCCCTCAGATGGCCAGGTCCCCAGGGATGCCCCTCCCCTGCTCAGGAAGCCCCTGGCCTGGCTTTGGAGGCCTGGCATGGTGTCTGCCTCCCACCTCTGGGGCGACGCTTCCCTCTCCCCTAACAATTTCATCCCTTTAAATTTCTTCCAATCCCAGCCACCACTGGCTGATCATCCAATCATTCTGCCTCCACATCTGGCTTCTCTGTCTGCCTAGAACCCTCTTCTGTCCCTTCAAGTCTTACATCTGATATTTCCTCCTCTAAGAAGCCTTGGGGCCAGGCGTGGTGGCTCACACCTGTAATCCCAGCACTCGGGAGGCTGAGGCAGGAGGATTGCTGCAAGTTCGAGGCCAGCCTGGGCTACAAAGTGAGCTCAAAGCCAGCTTGAACTGCATAGTGAGATCCTGTCTCAAAAAGACAAAAAAAAAAAAAAAAGTAACAGCCTTGGGTACTGGTGAAGATCTGAGGGCCACATCCTCTCCCACACAGCATAAATCATACCGCACTGAAGTTGCAAGGTGCCTTCGCCCCAACCCATGACTAGGAGTTTCTCAAGGGCAGGATCTAGGTTTGGTAAATCTCACTCCCCAGGACACAGCCCAAAGCCTAGCCCCACAAGGCTTCCAGAGACGCATGTGAATTGCAAAAAAGATTTAGAGACAGAAACAGGGACACACAGAGACAGACACAAAGAGAACAGAGGAGAAACCGGGCGTGAAAGCCTGAAAGCAGACCAGAGACTAAAGCCAGATCAGTTAATGAGTAAAAAAGCCTCTGCCCAACCCTCCTCCTCCCTCCCCTCCCCCGTAGGACAGGAAGTAGCAGCTTAGCCAGGGCAGTAGCACCAAAGCTGGCTGGGTGCTGCATGCCCAGGAGGCCAGGGTCGTGCCAGAGGGAAACGTATCAGACTGCAGCAGATTTCCAGGACCTGTGGGAACAGGTCCTAGACCCTGGATCCTGGGTCTCAGGGACAAAGGAAGTAGGGACCCAGACTCCTGGGTCCTCTGAGGACACTGACTTGCATCCAGTTCAGCATGTGGCTCTCCCAGACTCATGGGGATTCGAAAGCCGGCTTGGTCCTCCTCCAGCATTTGAAGCAGCTCATCCTCGGTCAAGTCAGCCGGAGGAGGGATGGAGGGAGAGTGACAGATGTTGATGAAAACTTTCCCTTCCGATGAGTTGGTCTTTATGCAGAAACCTGTGGGCGTGGATTTGTCCTGCCCATCTGTCTCTGTACCGTCTCTGTCGCCATCCACCGTCCCTCCACCCTTTCCCTCCTTTGCAGTGTCTTCCTGCTGGGGCTCTGTCTCCCCCCCCACTGAGTCTCTCTGTCCCTGTTTTACTGATCTGTTCCTCTCCCTGTCTGAGGCTCTGACCCTCTTCCTATCTTTGAGTGTCTGTCCTGCTACCCGCTCTGCTCTCTTTTGGTTACTGTCCCTAGTGATCTCCCTGCGTGTCAGTTCACACACCTACCCCCAGATTTATACTCAGTATTGCGTCTCTTCCCACCCCACCCCGCTTTCTCTGTGTCTCCAGCCCTCAGACTCTAACCCTCTCTCTGGGCTCTGTTCTGCTCTCTGTGGGATGATTCTCTCGCTCTCTGGGTTTCTGTTCTCACCAGGCTGAGGCTGGATCTGTGTAGATTCTGGTGTGGTTGCCTGGGCTTGCTGGAGCTCCCTGGAAGCCTATGAAGGAAAACAGCCTTCAGGTTTGGAATCTGTGCAATCAGATCCTTCATTTGTTCCTTAAATGTTTACAGAGCAACTCATACATGAAAACTGTTGGTAACAGGAAAAATGAGACATTCAAGGTCCTCCTCCTCCTTGAAGGGCATGAAGAACCCCAAACCCATTCATTTCTTTTACAGCCTAGTAAACTACGCCAAGCAACTACAACTCCCATAGGCCTTGCTGTCAGCCTAGTGCATCGTGGGAGCTGTAGTCCCTTCACTTGCACCAAAGACCCTAATCTCCAGTGACCCAGGGATCGGGGTAGCCCCTACCTTCAACAGCAGCTCCTCGAAGCGCGCTGTCTCATCACCCATCGTCTCCGCCTCTCTCAGCTCTGGTTCTAGCAGTGTCGAGCTCGACATGACCTGAAAAACAGACCTAGGTCTCCTCAGCACCCTCGACGTGGGGAGGTTTTCCCAAGATCCGAACTCTGGAGCATGGTCTCAGGCTTTCAATCGATTCCCAACACACACCCTTCCATCTGGAAACCTACATGTGGGCTGAGTCTATACTTTCACTCTAAGACCAGATACAGTCAAGTCTCCGGTCAGCTATCATCTCTAGACACAGCGTAACTTGCCAAATGTTTAGACGAAAACCACACTTCCCGTCTCACGTGGCCACATACACTACAGGAGCCACACTTCCGACTCACCGCTCATTCAAGCCAACGTCTATTACAAACCAATGACATTCAAAATCGGTAGCCACGCCCCTCACTTCATCCACTCAAAAATAAACCCTGGGGCGACTTAGCAAACGCCACACTTCCCGTACTGATAAAGCCACACTTCCGCTCGCCCCTAACAACCACTGTTGTTTGGTCAGGTTACACTGCAGTCAAGGCTGCCATACTCTAAACTTCAAAATCAATGTCTACCCTAAAAGACGGTCTTCTGATCTTTAAAATATTACTTCAGCGAATCCCCCTTCAGCAGCCTCATTTCCAGTAACCCCCACACTGCCGCATCGCGCTGAGGAATTCGCACGCTCCAAACTACGTATCCCAGCCTCAGCCTCCAGGCCGCCGCCCGGGGAGTGGGGAGTGGGCGGGGATACACGCTACATCCCGTCTCCCCGCCCACTTCTCGTTGGCCCCGCCTCTCTAGAGCTTGGAAGGGGCGGTGCCACCCTTCCGACCTCGAGGTTCCCCTTTGGTCGGAGCGCACGGCAGTTCCTTGGGGAAGACCGTCCAGGCGAGCGATGGCGGCGACGCACGCAGAGCCCAGCGCCCGCGAGATCTTCTCCACGCTGGAGTACGGACCCGCGCCGGAGAGCCACGCGTGCGCACTGGTGAGGGCCTGCGGGGCCGGTGCTTCCCCTCCTTTCCCTGGCCTCGCGGCGGTGGTTTAAGCACGGGCTCCCGTGATCCTCCGCGGCAGCGCGGCGACTCCGCCCCTCTCGGCTCGCGTGTTTGCAGCGGCGCGTTAGGGCGTAGCCTAGGGAGAAGTTCCTGCGAGCCTTGTTTTGGCCGCCTCAGCGCTTCGGGCTGCGCTCGTGATCCTTGGTATGGTTCCTGTGCTCCGCGTCGAACTCGATTCCTCAGAACCCTTCGAGGAGCTTGTGACTCCTAAGAAACCCCACTAGCCTCCTGTGATCCCCCGGGCTCGTCCGGATTCCTGTGGGGCCCCGGCGACCTTTAGAACCTCCGTACACTTCCCAAGTGCTCAAAATTCCTGTGGCCCCTGTGGTCATCGGGGACCTCTAAAATACAGTGTGCTTCCTCGGGTTGCTCCTCCTTCCCGGCACTGGGCACTGAACCCGGGGCCCTCGCACTAACGTACATCCACGGCGGTTTTTTAAAAAGAGAGCCTCGGAAAATCGCTATAAACTTCCCTGGATGGCCTCGGGTTTGACATCCTCCTGCCTCAGCCTCCCAGAGTGTTAGGATTACAGGCATGCACCACCATGCTCGCTCCTTAGGGTTTCATTAATACTTGTGGGACTTAAGGGAGCTCCCAGAACGCCAGAATATATCAGAACGTCTGTAGTTGTCTGCAGCCCCACAACACCTCCGTGGGGAGCCCATGATCGTGGGGGTCTTGATCTATACAGCCCCACTCAGACTCCCCAGGAGTTCCTAAGGTTCTTCAGAGCCCTGTAATTCCCCCAAGTTTCCTCAGAACCTCCAGGGACTCTCGTGATCCCTCAGGTGCCAGCCTGGACTACACATCGGGACTCTGTCTCAAAAAAACAAAAATAAAGTAAAAAGATCAGCCAGGTGTTACGGTGTACACGTATAATCCAACTACTCTGAGAGGCTGTGGCAGGAGGATCATAAGTTCCAATCCAGCCTGGACAGTTTAGCAAAACCCTGCTTCAAAATTAAAAAGGGCTGGGAATATAGCTCAGTGGTAGAGCTCCCCTGGGTTCAGTCCTCAGCACCACCAAAAGAAAAAAAAAACAATGAAATTTGAATTTAGGCCCCTGGATTCTGGACCCATGGATTTTTCCCCCACCAACAAAGGTCACAACCTCACAGTCCCCTGGCCAGACTCAACCAACAAACATGTTTCCTTTGGCCAGAGCTTTTGTTTTTGAAAATGTCAGCCGTTGGACAATTAATTCCAAATAAATACCCGGGATTCCAGCATCTCTTGGAAATAAAATTCCACAATGTGGCAACCTCTGGCTCCAGTTCCCTGACAACACTCATCTGGAGTGAATTGTTGCTGTCGTTTTAGATTAAGCTGTAAGCTTGCAGTCTTCGCAGACCCTCTGTCCCACTTACATGACCTGCTGGGACCCTGAGGACGTGCCTTGGGGATTTTTCTTTTGGGGGATTTCCCGTCTCCCCCCCGAGTAGCTGATACTTACTTTGCACTCCCACTTACCCTTCTTCTCTTCAGCAGCCATCAACATTTCATCCAGTGCTTCCCATCCCATTTTTCTTTTTGCTTTCTTTGAGAGTACTTTAAACAAATCCCAGATGTCATGTTATTTTCCCAAACATCTTCGACTTTTTTTTTTTTTTTTTGAGATAGGGCCTTGCTGTGTTGCTCAGGCTGGCCTCAAACACATGGCAATCCTACTGCCTCAGCCTCCCAAGTACTGAGATTACAAGCATGTGCCACCACACCCAGCCTTGCCTCTATTTCTAACAGATAGGGACTTGCTTTATTGTATAAGTATCACTCAGTTATTACATTTCACAGCATTAATAGTAATTTTTTTTCCCCCAGGTACTGGGGATTCACCCCAGGGCTTTCACACTGAACTACATCCTCAGTCCCCAGCCCCCC